TCTTAAACGGTAATAAATACCGTCTCATAAAATTATTTAATGGCCGTGCGAAGGAATATTACGTTTGTTTAGCATTTCGACGACTAAACCTAAACGGGTTCTATAGTTTGCACGATGATTACTATAATCGAAATTTCCAAAAAGGGATGACACTGGAATTTTTTATACAAATATTTATCCATTCCTATATTTTGACTACAAAACATTTATCCAGATATTACTTTTTTTAAATGGTTTTATAATGAGATGGAGTACGAAATGAGAAACATACGATAACCTTTCTTCAAGCTGTTAAAAAAGCATCATAAAATACGTAAATGAACACATATATATAAAGATAACAATGAATTAAAAAATAAAAAATACAACCGGAAAATATATTTTTGGGAGCAATAAAACTTTTTAATAACAAAAAGCTTTCGTCATAAATATACAACCTGTTTCAGCGTAAAGAATTTAGAAAAAAACTGATTGTACCTTTTCCCGCTCACTCGAATGTCGACGTCAAGCGTTCGAACGTTTAAATCCGTTATGGGGTCACGATTTAAACGGTGTTGACACATTAAATTGTCGGTGCCCGATCGATTTAGAGAAATAAAAAACGGACCGGCCACGAAATACGAAAGACGCGGCAAAAAATTACGCTAATCGGCCGAGCCTAATCGGATGGTAGCCATGACGCTAGGCCGGACCCGCCGAGTATTACGGACTTATTTACAGAGAAGATTGTCCGGCTGGATTAATTGCTGAACGGTACATCGGTAACGAATACAGTTGTGTGTATTTCGGTATCGATACAGTGATGCTTTGAATAGTTAGCAACAGATTCGCCCACGGGTACTGTTAATTTCTTCAGAAACTTTACTACGAGAAGGATTTTTTTTATAATAATTTAAAATTTTGGGGTAAATGAAAACGTTGATTAAAAAAAAGAACTACATTAGCACGCGTAAAATGAACTTTATTAATGCCATTCTGAAAATAGTTTTAATTAAAATGACGAAAGCTTTATAGTCTTTTTTTACATTCAATTGTCAAGGGACAGACTGAGATGTCCTGGAGTCATAGTTAGTATGGGCTATCATAAATTTTTAATAGCTTATTCTATCCGATCTACGCATTAGGAAGTTATAGTGTCTTCTTGTCTCACGGTATTAGTGTGTTTGGATTTAAATTTATGATTTATTGTATCCCAAACTGGTAGTTTATGCAACAAGATCGTCTTAGTTGAAAAATGCCATGGACAAATACCAGTGCTACAACAATTGCCAGGTCCAAAACTTGTCCTGCGTCGCTATTTAGCTAAATCTAATTATATACCGAGCCGCGACAGCTCATTGTCCAGGCCCTCCCTTAAATCCAAGTTAGTACCGCGACCTCACAGAAGACACGTGCTCAGAGGTGAAGGAAAACATCGTGAGGAAACCTTAATAAATAAAAAAATAACGAAATAAAATTTACGGTGGTAGGGCTACGTAACAGTGTTCGCTGTTGCACGAATGGGCAGATCCGTCCGGGTTAGTACCACGACTTCACAGAAGACCGGCGTAAAGTAGAAGCGGTGCACTTCTGCATTTCGTCTGGTGAGTGAGGTGGCCGGAGCCCCATTTCCAAAAGGTTGTCAACGTATCTGCAACCCTCGGGTGTAGCAGATGTCCATGGGTGGCGGTATTCACTTAACATCCGGTGAATCGCCAGCTCGTTTGCCACTTTCTCACATAAAAAAAACTCGAAGATATGTGAAATCCGCCAATCCGCAGTGGGGTTGCGATCAACTTAGGTGTTTTGTGGATAGTTCTCAAAGTACACACGGACACAATTCAGTTATGATGGTGAACTTCGTGACATCATTAGAAACGTATTAGATTCAAAGGTAATCTTTAGGACAGAAATCCCAAATGAAATGTTACAAAAGAACATTTGTATTAAAAAAAAAAAAAAAAAAAACACAAAATAACTAGGAATAAAAAATTGTAAAGAATTTAAACTATATAAAATATTATAATAAACGATACAATAATTATTTATATAAAAATCAACATAATTTTTATAGGCCAGCCTAACGGGCATTTCCCTCAATACTAGTCTATTCGTTAGTTAGTTCTAGATAAATAACGACTATACCTGTTAACCGAATGATAATCTGTAGTAAATAGTTTCAATTTATCCTAAACAAACATACTTCTTTCAACGCACGTGCCAAATAACCAAAATACATACATTTTCCAATACGCGATAACTTAAGGTTCAATATTGACAGAGTAACTTCCCGAAATTTCATCCTAAGGCAACACTAAAAACGGGTTCTTTAGTTTGGACTATGATTACTATAATCGAATATTCCAAAAAGGGATGACACTGGAATTTTTAGTTCAAATCTTCCGATTTTTATAATGAGATAGAGTACGGAATAGTAAATGAATGAATGAATATTAATTTAATTATCTAAGGCATGGAACCAAATAGGTATGTACTCGGCACGATTTACCGATTTTCAGTATATATCGAAAATTAAAATTATAAGTAACAAACTAGACTAAGATTAACACAAAGCGGGTAATTTAATTCAAGGACAATAAACAATAACTATTAATAATAACACAAATCTGGTACGATTATTTAGTAACCTTACTGCAAACTGTTCGAAGAGAATAAATAGTATATATGTTAATGAACATATATGTAGATCACAATGAATTAAAATAAAACATATATTTAAGTGTTTGTACTTCGGTTGTTTTGTGTCAAATAAACATATCCCTGTCTTCTTTACTCTTTCCAATTAAGGATGAAGCAATCTTCGACCCACAACTGAAATGGCGACTCGTCAAGCTCATATCCGATTAAAGAAAGTCGTACGCCACAGCACATTAGACGGGGGGGAAATTAGAGTACTAGAAACGTACGCTCTCTACAAACAGAAGTGGGAAAGCAATCTTCGTTCCAATCGGCTCATTTGTAAGTGCCGCCCGTTGCAATCAGCCGACGACTCGTACAGCTGGACGGTGTAATTGCGGGAAAAGCGTCTCACAATGGCGGCGGACGGTGCGGCTTAGAAAGCACCTAATTATCAAAGCGTCGGCTAGAGCCGCGCGTGCGCCACACCGATCGGACTGGGAAACTCGCAGGCTCCTGGGAAAATCGCTTGTTGAAAAGCAATTGCATGCTCGAAAGCCGCCGCGAAACGCCCATTTACACGAGAGAAGCTAAAAGAAGGTGGTTAAATTCTTATTAGAATGCCTCTTACGGAAATGTATAACTCCCACCTTTAAGATGGGAGTTGGAGCTGGTCCAGACTCATGTCATCAAACGAAAAACAGAACAAGTCGGCAAGGACAAGTCGGCCAAAAACAGCAAAAGATACTGCTATATCACAGACAAAGCTTACCTGCTCTTGTAGGCAGGAAATCAAAATCCCTTCCCTTATTTCTACATTATAGAAGACGCAATAGTCGACCTATTTATTCAGTACTATCCTCTAAAAATCTCAGGAGTTATTAGGGAACATATTTCTAATATTTTCGCATTAGAATCAAAACTACATCTATACTATGTCGCTACGGCTATAGGCAGTAGGCCGATAACAAGGAGGTCCAAACCCAAGGGCCACACCCCATGGTAACGCAGCCGTAGTGGGACAAGCAGCACACCCAATGTCGTGAAATGCCCCAGCCTCAACATTTACGTGCCCATTGATTAATCTTTGACTATTACTAATCTATGGCTATTAGGGAGAACGGCCACAAAGAAATCTGGTCTCTTATAATAATAATAATAATAATAATAAAATATCTTTATTCACATAGACGCTTGCGCGTTCTTATGAAACGTCAAAATTTTACAAGAAATGAACACGTTCGTAGGTTACCACCGGTTCGGAAAGCAGTTTCTGTTGAGAAGAAACCGGCAAGAAACTCAACAGTTGCTCTTTTTAAAAAAAATCAGTTTACAATATAATAGTACATGTACAATAGTCTTGTTTTAGCCTACGTGAGTATCAACAGTATTAACCCCACACAATCTTCATCTTCTTGAAGGTCCCTAAGTCCTATCGGTCCGGAAACACCGCTAGCGATAACTGATTCCACAACTTTATTATGCGTGGCAGGAAATTGCGAAAAAAACGCAAAGTGGTGGACTACCATCGTGGTGGTAACTCTGAGGATAAACTTCAGTTAGCGTTTAACCTGAGTCAGTTAGTGCTTTGCGCGCATTTTCACTGACAGAATAAGTAATTTTTCAAAGATTTCTGAAAAACCGACCGAAATACTTCGAGGAGAAGAATCGAAGGGGGTTAGTGAGAGACAGTTGGTATCAAAATACACAAAGACCGCGGTAAACGCTTATTAGAACTCAGGCCCGAGATATTAATCAAGATTCAAATGAAACACCGTAAACTCCGCTACCTCTAGGTTAGTGGTTTAAACTTTTATGTATGTATTTAGGCCAGACGTTCACCAGAACGTTTATTTCCAAAGTCTTAATTCTACTAAACACTAGGAAGTTGTTCTATGTTTACCGACAGGTGGCACCACATTGGCGAGTTTTCCGAACTAACTGACTAGTTATTAGAAACAGGCGCGATAATAAAAATATAATGAATATGAATATAAAAAATCGGCCAAAAGCGAGTCGGTCTTGCACACGCAGGGTTCCGTACCATTCCAACATCTATAAAAAGGGCAAATAATGACGTCTATTGTATGGTAACCCCACTTAACTATTTTTTTATTCTGTTTTTAGTACTTGTTGTTATAGCGACAACAGAAATACATCATCTGTGAAATTGTTAACTGTCTAACTATCGCGGTTCATGAGATACAGCCTGGTGACAGACTGACAGACAGAGAGCAGAGTCTTAGTAATAGGGTCCCGTTTTACCCTTTGGGTACGGAACCCCAAAAATACCAACTCTCTTCTAACCATTACAGAATAGACGTAGATATTACTATCGGCTGTATAACCAACTTGTTACTTACCAAACTTTATACGTAATGAGCATGTCGCCATTAGAACCAATGCGGGACAGCGATATGACCACGTAAGAGGTCCATAAAACAGAAATGTCAGTAAACAACATTATTTATATGTATTGAATCACTTTCCCTAATAGCTATTGAACTTTTATATACTTATCAAGAAACCACAAATACTTCGCTAGCCACATTCTCAAATAAAAAAAACAGACTGAAATGTTTCATGTCATAGATAACCGGGCTACTGTCGACTTTTTGATAATATTCTGTGTTGATTTTTTTATTAAACGCGAATATTATACGTATAAAGTGAAAGTAGTTTACGGATTTTGTCCTATATTTATCGGGTTACGGGTTGCCTTTGATATCGAAACGTGTTAAAACTCACGCCCCGTTCCCGAAACACTGATCATCGTATAAATTAACTAATCAGCTGTCAAATGTGTTTAACAATCCTTTGGGCAACTCAAATAACATTCGAAAATCCATTTGACAGCTGGTTAGTTGACATCTACGTTGATCAGTGTTTCAGAAACCGGGCTTCACTCGGTTCCGTGACCATGAATGCTAGAAAAGGGTGCGAAAGGTCGGCAATTAAAAATCAAAATTAAAACGCAAAAAAATCCGTAAACTACTTTCACTTAATGTATTGTATGTAATTAAATCATTTGAGGACATAGTGGTGCGCTGGCGTATAATTTTATTGATTTTTTTTATACTCGGCTATACCATATTACATACCATATATAGGTACATGAGAACTAAGCTCATTTGTTTAAATCCTCATGCGTTATAGTGCGTCATTGAAAACGAAAGTGAATAAAAGTGAATCAGGCAAATTCACTTTACATGGCCGAATAAATAAATAGAATATGACTAGTGCAAATGTGCGGGAAGTCGATGGATGCATGTGGCTCAGGCTCGTGCTTGGTGGCACTGGGGAAGGCCTATGTTCAGCAGTGAACTTCTTCTACTTCTTCTACCTGGCATTAATCCCGGCTATTGCCAGGGTCTGCCCTCCTACTTAAACTTCTCCACTTTACCCGGTCTTCGACATCCGCAGGGGTCAGTCCATTGGGCGTCCAGGGGGTCTAGTTCCTGGGACAGGTATATGAAGGCATATCCTTCCGACATAGTTTTCCGACCGGCGTGCGATATGGCCATACCATCTCGGGCGCCGCTCTTGGAGTTTATCCGCTACGTCACGAACCCTGAGACTGCCTCCAATGAATGTGTTACGTATGCGGTCAGCCCGCGTGACGCCACACATCCACCTAAGCATCTTCATCTCCGTGACGTGAAGCTCTTGAGTGTGCCGAGATAGAGCTGGCCAGCACTCGCTACCATACAGAAGTACCGGTCGGATGATGCACTTGTACACCTGACCCTTGAGCTTGGGCGGTATTCTGCGGTCGTAGACCACACCTGTAACCTCTCGCCACTTAGCCCAAGCAGCGCGTATCCGGGCTTGCACGTCATGGTCAATGTTTCCGGACTCGTGCAGAACGGATCCAAGGTACCTGAACGATTCCAACTTAACGGCTGGTTCAGAACCTATTTGGATCGTGCAAGAGTCCGAACTCCCACAAGCCATGTACTCGGTCTTCGCCACATTGAGTTTTAGACCACCGTTCTCAAGCGTACCCTTCCAGAGATTTACTTTTTGCTCCAATTCCTTACTTATGTTCAGCAGTGGACTAACAGACTGAAATGGTGATAATAATATAAATGATTCTTGGAGAATCTCAAATAAATACCCTAAAGTAGCAAAAGAAGGGAAAGTTAACAGAGCTCTATGATTGCAACTGTGTGACGCGTATTTCTTTATTTGACAATTTTTTTAAATTGTTAAAATCGTATAAAACATTTTAAATTATTCCGATTAACACCATTATCATTTAAAATAAAAACACACAATCAATTTTAATTTATGGCAAGATGTATGATTTTTTCTGATTAGTTTCCAATCTCTATCCCATCACGAGTTAAGACGCAAGAGCTCGTATTGAAAATCCACCAGCTCGTTAGCGCTGCATCGACTCCAGCTCTCCTGGACCGCCGGCAGGTTGCCCATTCCGCCGGACGCAGAGTGAGCCCATTAAAGCCGTCGTTAAATCGAGAGTAAACGAGAATTTAAGACTGCACTATTGTTGTTGACTAGGCGATTTCTTTTAAGGCCCGCACACACCTGTATGAGACTGTTTCATTTACAATTTTACTTTTAGAAACTTTAAGCCTATTGTAAGGATAGATTGAAATTCTAGAGTAGACTATTTTGGTCCATCGTATATTAGCATCTATAGTTGAACCGATTGGCGTGGTGGGTAGTGACCCTGCCTCTTAGGCGTGTGGGTTCGATCCCCACTATTGTAAAATATTGTTTGATGAACATAGTGTTTTTCCTGTATCTGGGTATTTATATATTTATATTACGTATTTATTTAAAAAAAGTATGTTTTGGTATGTTTATCAGTTTTTAATGAAATATTAAAAAAAGACATATTTTTATAGCCATGAAATTATAGCTCGGCAATACTGGATAATAAGTAATATAGTAAAGCAACATACTATATATGTCCCACTACCGAAGGTATTATAGCCAATAGTTAACCACATGACCCCCTGCGCATTGGCAGTCTTCACAATCTTCAAATTGATTTTTTTATAAATTTTTATGCTGTTTTCCTCACTATATTTTTCTTGTCGACTGATGACTAATCAGCAAACAAAATCAGCACTTAAAATTGCATTAACAATTTCATTCAAGTAAATTGTATTTAAGCGACACTGAGCCGTCTCGTTTTTGCAATTTTCACATTATTTTAACAACATAATAAAACAATGTCACCAGAGAAAGCTTTAAGTTTAAAGTATCAAGTTGAGAGCGTTCCGAAAATGCCTCTTAGAAGGTTCCAATAATCGTTCGAATTAGACGGCGTCAGTGTGCGAGGCCTCTAACAAGTGCAGTTACAGTCTCGGAGGGGTAACGCATAAACTTTCAAATAGTTATGAAGCAGAAAAGTACCCGCTTTATGGCTAGAAATTACACACCGCACCGTCCACGCACTATTGGAGTTGTAATGGCGTAATCGAATATTAAAACCGCCCAGGCGCGTGTTTGCGCTCGGAATTATGATATTTCTCAATTCATATTCGCCTTGAACTTAAAGCGCCGTTAACCCGTCCGTCTGTTTGTTTTCCCGCGATGATTGCTTAATGGTTTCTCAGATTTACGCAAATCATACACATCGTTGGTTGAATTTTATTTTGAGTTTCCTCGAGTTCGGTTGTGATTTTTTTTTATTTCCGAACGCTTCGCCCATAGCAAATAGCGAAAAAATTCCTTAAGTAAAAATCAAAGTCTTTACAGTAAAAAGCTTCTATTTATTTCCATATTCTTTACTATGATAAAAATTATGTTTCATATTTACACAAGTTGTAGCATTTGAGGTAATCAATAATGAAATGTCCTAATAGAATTCGATGCCTTTTTAAGCAGTGTGACTTATGTGTATTCAATGTGACATCAAAGGGTCGTAAGTTATCGTACACTGGTGGTAACAATCGAGCAATCAACAAATGGTGATAACCGCCACCATGATATCTAACGATAGGGATTAAATCAATAATTACGGATTAGCAATTATTGAATTAATCATTTTCGTAATCACCATGGTATTTTCATTTACATTTATCATGCGGTAAAAAAAATAAAAAGAAGGTAAAAAATGAATTTTACTAAGAAAAAGGAGGCAAGCGAGTACAAAAAACAAAGTTTATCAAAAAAGAAAAAAAAAATATTATAGTAGTGCGTATATACAGTAAAACAACAGCAATACAAAATTCAAATTTAAAACTATGCTCTAACGTGAAAATAAACTACATTTTAAATAAAAAGAATTGATGGTACTGCCTATTACCGGCAAATAAGGTCAGCGGCTTAGCATTATGCTGCCTGCAGTGTGGCAAATTACAACGCGTGCCAATCGCCAATAATACATCCAAAGTAGAACAGGATTGCATCTATTTATCGGTCGTGTTTACAAAAAATCCCATTCACAAACAGCCGTGCCTTAATTACGTACTCTCCGACACACCGCACCGTATATCGACAAGTTGCGTAAAGCTAACCGCGCGATTAGGAATTAATCGAGGTAACGATTCAGATAAATGTCGGACCACTTCTGTAATAGGCGAGGAACTATTCGAATTCCTAAATCGGTGCAAAGCTATTAAGGGCCAGCGTCTTTAACGTTTAGGTTAAGTTATTCGTCGCACGGATATCTGGGCTGCTTAGATGCTAAAAGGATTTTTAATTAAAGTTGCGTGCAATGCGCCGAATGGGTATCGGGGCGTGGATTGACCCATCTAAATATCTTTTTCGTGTGTGGCAATTGAGGGATTACCACCGATTACACAACTACAGGGGGCCGTGATAGCTCAGTGTCCGGGGGCTCGCCTTTAATTCAATTTATCGACCTGAGTTCGATCGCCGGTGCGCCGGTCGCCGGCACCAATGAAATTGTTAATTTTAAGTGGCGACTTACCCCGCGGTCGACGGTGAAGGAAAACATCGTGAGGTAACCTGCATATTTATTTATTTATTTATTTATTTATTTGATACACCAACGAAATGGACACTGAAAAAATTTAAGTGTACACTAATTATATGGAAAAACATGTTAAGTGCCACCTCAATTATAGGTGTATACGACATTTACAGGATTTATGAAATAATAACAAAAAAAAAAGATTTCGAAAACATGTGAAGTCCGCCAATCCGCAGTGGGCTCGCGTGGTGGACTATGCCCTGACACCCTCAGTATAGAGCAGACCCTTACCCAACAGTGGAAAATTTATAGGCTGTTACTTTTATACAATTGCACCAATTACACAATCTACCACCGCCTATTGACATCGACACCTGTGGGGTTGCCGATGCTTACGAACTCGAATTGCGATGTCTGTATTCAAAATAGAAGCATCGTGCTAACTCATTGACTGTCAAAATTCTACTACTACCGGTTCGGAAAAGAAGAGCAACTGACCTGAGAAGAACCGGCGATAGGAACCTAGCGAGAGAAGTGCAAATACTTCCACTCCGGGTTGATCTTGTGAGCGACGGAATCAATAACATTATATGCAGTTTTAAGTCAAGGTCCACCGCCCTTCAACGTTTGATATGAGTGTATGTTTATATTACAAACTGTCTTCGTCTAAAGTTAAAACGGGTGAAATTATTAAAGTTTTATATAAATCTGTAGTTTAAAAGATGCACCTTTTTGAGGTGGCGGTTCACCTGATTTTAAGTGATTACCACCGCCAATTACAACACCGTAGGGTTGCAGATTGCAACGCCCTTTGTATAAAATAAAAATGGACCACGGCTACCTCACTCACCAGACGAGCCCAAATTTAACACTTCCACTTCACGCCCGTCTGCGAGGTCGCGGTACTTCCCCGGACGGACCTGACCATTTGTGCAACAGCTTGCGTGGTGCTACCACAGTTAGGTATTTAGTGCTCAGATCTGGCAAATGTTGCTCCTCAACAGCTCTGTTTCGTCGTCAACAGCCCGTTTCGGGCGAAGGGGCAGACCTTACCGCTATCAGCGCATCTGCTCCGTGCTCTGCGGAGCCATGGTTGCTATTACACTGCTTATCGTCGGGAACACCACGCTGTTTACCGAAAAACAAGGACATTAAAGTAGTTTCCTTTATCTATACGTCAGCGATTGCCTTACTACGGTAGAACACAGCTTTTTCCGATGAGTGTTCAGAGAGTACAGTCGAGGTATCCAGCATTGACTCGAATTTTTCTCCTATAAACAGAGGCGTTTGCCCATCAGTGGGACATATGTAGGCTGTTACTTTGTTTTTTCCTTTTTGTTTACGAGGCAACGTCCAGAGTTTTCCCGGGGCTCTACAGATGCAACGTCGCCGCGGAGAGCGCGCGGGAAATGGAGCGTGACTCCGCAGAGCCGCCTCGCTCCGGCGCCCCGCTCTGCGCCAATACGCACCGCTTGTTTTCGCGGCTTTTCCTACGAACGCGCTATTATACACTGCTCCTTTCCTCCAAGGCGATCAGTTGAGCGATATGATATCCGATTGCGCTGTTTTTTGTTGTAACGATATTCACAGAAGTCGTAAAGACAATGTGTTGTATGTAGATGATAGTAGAAGTACTTAAAACGACAAAATAATTAAATGTTAGGTGATTTGCCAGAGATGTGTCATTATAGCAACTTAAGTAACCGGCGAGAAAACAGGCTAGCATGGGGCTACGAAGATAGATAACTTTTTAGTTAGTTAATATAAAATACTGTTAATATTTTTATGTAAAATCAGTTAAGTTCCTCGCAAGAAACATTCAATACATAACTCTCACGTGATGTGACCATTTTAATCGAGTTATCTACATATTTTAAACTAAAGACATTTTAAACAGTTGCAGCGTCCATTGAATGAAAAAAACATATGCTACCTGATTTTCTAACCGTAATTGGCGAGAGATATCACGAATAGAGATGCATATATAAGTTTACTACTTCTTTCTTATACTGTGGTAATTAATGATAATAACAATAAATTTCCTTGTATCTGAAGCTGGGTACATAGTAGCAGTACAAGTTAATGCTGTCTATTAATATTGGCTTGTTTAATCTAGCTTAATATTGCTTTATTTATTATTAGATATTAACTAGATATTCTAGTTAATATCTAATAATTAATCTAGCTCAATAAAGCTACTTTTGGCGCGTTTTGAGATATAACCAACCTTCTGCGGATCGGCAAGTTATTTTTTTTTTTCATAAATTGAGCAAAGCCTTGCCCGATCCAACATTGAATCCTAAAAAACGAAGCGATCCGACGCTCCAACTACTTATAATTGCGGAGATGTTTAGAGACAAAGCAAGATCGCCTCATACCCACCGTCGTTCGGGCGACTCCCGTGGGAATAGATCGCGACGAGAAGGGAATGCGTACGTGTGGGGATTTGCCGCTGGGGCCAACGATTACTACGTTACTGAAATGGAGGCTGATTTTCGTCGCATTTGAATTGTCGCTAAGGGAGAGAATAAAACGGAGAAAACCGATTGAGAGCATCCATTTAAATATAGCTTGAAGTTCTCAAGATCGTGTAAAATGTGACAATAACGAAATACCGTAGGACTAAGATTGGATAGGTTCGCCCGCGCAAGTATCAGAGCCTCGGAGAAGAACAGAGAAGGGAAAGATTCTTAAGCGTTTCATCTGATGAGTGAAGTAACAGGCGATGTCAATGTGGACTAGATTACGTGGCTTGCGTCGGAATTTTAAACGCCGCGCAGTATGGACATGCGTCGTCTTTAAAACATCACTGACGCAGACGTTGCCGCGGTTATCCGCCGGTCTAGCGTATAGGTTCGTGTCTAGGCTATACGCGATGGGCTAGCGCCACATTTATACGTACGACGCTGCAACACGACCACATGGGCCAGCGAGCCGCGCAATCAGATCCGATGATGGGTCCGCACTCGATTCGAATAAACGATCGTCGACAGTTGGCGAAATCAATTTGCACAATCGCGGCATCTGTCGGTTTTAACCAACGCCCTGTGCGAGTATTTTTTTATTTATTTTGTAATTAATAAATTATGTACAATTGATGTTAAGAAAAGATTTTCACAAAGGCCCTGCTTATTTCTTAAGAAATCTCTTGTTGGCAGACCTAACCTTGATTGGAAATATTTTTTTAAGGCAAAGGAGGCAAACGAGCGGGCCGGCTAACTGTTGGTAAGTGTTCACCGCCGCCCATGGACACTTGGCACACCAGAGGAGTCCCAAATGCGTTGTATGATGCATTTTAATAGCCCAAAAATATAAAAAAATATATTCCAAAGTATTTGTATGTAACAGCGTAACACACTGTACAGATATTATGTTGTACTGACGAGAAAAGACCTCTGTAGCGGAGGTTCCGTCACATAGTCTAATTGCGATAGAAGTCTTTAAGCTCTGAGATTTTCGTTTAAAACCAGCAGTCAAAATGCAACTGGCAAATAGATTAATTATTGACACAAGGATTAGAAGTCGATAAGACCGGTTCCTTTTTGAAATATGAATGAATTATCTAAGTGATTATAAAATTGGAGTGTATTTTGAACTCAGAACTCTGGTTTATAATTTATAAATAAGGTAATAGGTTTATGGTTTGTGGCCCAGTTGACTACAAGGCACTTAATTACGGCAATAAGTACAGACACGCGGAAGTAATTGCAATAATTAATTATAGGATGACACAGGTATATAAATAACTACGAAATCAGCTATAAATTGTGTGGTTTTATTAACCTGGCTGTTTACCGTGAGTAGTTAAAATTTTGAACTGACTGCTTAAATAAATATTTTTATTTGAACATATTGTTTAAGAATCCAACTTATACTAGTATATTTTATGTACTTATACTATGTGTTTTATGTACTTATGTTATACGTTGGATTTTGTTTTTTCTTAAATAATTTTATTAATTATATTAATAATCAATAATAACATTTAAATGTGGAAATGGTAAATACATACTTACAGCATATAGTTGGAATTAATGTTTGCATCCGGTAAAATCATAAGCGGCTTTAATTTACCCACAACAGCACACCGCCTTCCCAGTGGTTACCTGAAATGAAAAAGAAACAATTTGACGTTACGCAGATAAGAAACACTCATATCTACTTAATCTACGAATAATAACATACGTCAAAAGGTAAGCATCTGAGCGCTACGGAAGCATTAAAAAAGAGGTAGAGACAGTCAACAGGTTAAAATGAGACATTTAGCATGGGGTTAAGCGAATACCACCGCCCATAGACATCTGCTACACCCGAGGGTTGCAGATACGTTGACAACCTTTTGAAAATTGGGCTCCGGCCACCTCACTCGCCAGACGAAACGCGAAAGTATTAAACTTCCACTTTACGCCGGTCATGTGTAAGGTCGTGGTACTTACCCGGACAATTCTGCCCATTCGTGCAACAGCCGAGGCTGCTGCGTGGCCCTACCGTATGTTTTATGACATCATCAGACATAAATATCTATGTGTATTTGTATACATCTTTATATATGTATAGCAGCGAACCGGGCATACGTTGTCCTGTACACACGACTTAAATCTGATAACCAACAAAAAATAATTGCGAATCTAAACCATTCTCCAATCGACATGAACTCACAAAAAAACTCATTAAAATTGGTCCAGTCCTTTAGGAGTTCAGTGACATACAGAAGAATTATATATATATATAAATATTTATATAATATATAGTATATATTATAACAACATACGAGTAAATAAAGTACTAAAATTCTGTATCTATTTATTAACAATCGAAATTCCTTTTTCGTAACAAAAACTTCTTTTGAAAATCATGATCGGGTATAGTTCCAATCTTCCGTACAAACAAAATCTGAATATACTTAAGTCGGAAACTAAAACATCTATCGCAGAACTGTTTGATTAGAGCAACCACAAATAAAAAGGGGGGTAAGAAAACAATCAACCGACCCCATTCGGGATTCACGTCGCGATTTATGCGAGAAAAGCGGTTTGATCCGTCATTCGTCACTGAAACGCGCCCGCGCTAGGGACCGCATTCCGGACTCCATTAAAGTGGTGTTACATTGTCGGGACACCTGCGTTTTTATGGCTCCGCGCGCGCTTGACGACCTTTTGATGGGCGACCACCGTTCCAGATAGCGCGCGGATGCTGCGCTGCGATCATTATTGCACCGGTTCATGACGATCCGCTGGACGGCCTCCGAGTATGAGTTATGTGACGATATGTGTTCTCCAAGTTTGTTTGGTGGCGACATGCCTTCATACTCACGCCGGTCACTGAGAGTAAACAGAATTGCAATCCACGACGTCTACACAAGCCCCGCTTCAGTTTGGTTTTTTTTTGACCCGTTGACAATTGTTTCGTAATATAACATTATAACAGTTTTTAGGGTTCCGGACCCAAAGGGTAGAACGGGACCCTATTACTAAGTTCTCGCTGTCTGTCTGTCTATCAGTCTGCCACCAAGCTGTAAAATGTGATAGTAAGATAGTTGTAATTTTCACAGATGATGCATTTCTGTTGCCATAGCGCGAACAGAAATATCTGTATTTATCTGTGAAACAACAAATATTAAAAAACAGAATAAAAAAAATATTAAGTTGGGCTCCAAACAGCCGTTTTTATAGATAATAGTCAAAACCCTTCGTACACGAGTCCGACTCGCACTTGGCCGGTTTTTCTTCAGTCTCCTTTTTCACGTCTTCAAACCATCGATCACATTTATCGTCGTGTCCATAACTATACAAGATTATTGATTATTTTTGTACTCATAGTTTGAAGGGAAGTTGAAAGTAAGATAATTCACAGTTTGTTCTCATGCTGTTCCAAGAAGTCTAGTAATGATCCCTAGTAAATAGTTTAAATTTTTGGACATGTTCTACGACTTATGCCCGGAAGTTGACAAGGAAATTTTTGCAGATCAAATAGGTCATCCCTAATTAGCTCTAATTTGTTTAAGTCTTACGACGGAACCTCTGATCTCATTACAATACACAACTCCGAAGTTCTCTGTAAACAATCGAGGTGAATCGTAAACACGACACTGTTGCAACAACTTTGATCTAACCAGCAAAATAAACAAATTTGCCGATGACAAAACTATTGACCTGGGACCAAATATTATTACTCGGTCATAGTAATTATTTTGCCAGAAATTAGTGTTTACAAATTAACACACCGGTTGTGATACGCACGATGGCCTCTAAATATAGGGATAATGTAAACATATTTATACTTGTGCGTTTCTTAATATTTAATGGACCATACACGATATAATATAGAGATAGAGATATAAAATATATAGATGACTCCGTGGCGCAGTTGCCAAGGTATTGGCTTCGGCGTCGGGGGTCGTGGGTTCGACTCCCACACGGGACAACTATTTGTGTGACCCACAGATAGTTGTTTCGCATCTGGGTGTTTGTCCGCGTGAAATTTATGTTTGTAAAACGTCCTTTACAACACAGGATAATATTATCCTAAAGTAAGGGCAGTGTTTTTTAAAAGAAAAAAAAAATAATATATTTTATGAGTAAATACGATGCTTTGTTGCTGTTCTTACTGAATTTAGTATAGTGACTTCCTTATGTGTTGATTCACATACTCAATACAAAGAGTAGCGTGCATCTTATTATTTTCATTACATGCATCTTGATATCCAAAGTTTTTAACTGTTACGAAATTTTCTATTGGACAAAAATTTTTATTCATTGCGCTAGATTAATCAAAACTTTGAAAACCTTTAAATTCACTAAATTCAAGCATGCTTACTGCTTAATTTAAATCTAGGAAATTAGTATATGCTCACGTGTATAGTTCGCCAATTTACCGAATGCTCTACAGTGAGAGTTTGTGAGAAAATCTAGCAATTGTAGAGAAATTTTAAAAAAATATACTTCGGTTAGAGTCACAGTCAGGCCTAATACAATTTGCACCTAGGAGTACTCCTCGATATATAGGAAAATTTGTAGGCTATATACAGATTCTACTTTGATGAATTAGGAATACTTATCTTCACAACATTACTATATCATCATCATTATTTCAGCCTGTTTGAGTCCACTGCTGAACATAGACCTCCCCCGTAGACTGCCACGAAGTACGATCCTGAGCCCCCTGCATCCATCGACTTCCCGCACATTTGCACAGGTCGTCACTCCATCTAGTGTGGGGTTGTCCCACACTGCGATGGCCAGTACGCGGCTGCCACTCGAGAACCTTTCTTCCCCAACGGTTATCGGTTCTACGAGCTATATGGCCGGCCCATCGCCACTATATACATTAAATTAAATTATTAAATTTAATAATTTTTTTATTTTAATTTAATTACTTAATAAGGCTATACCAGTGAATCTTCATCATCAACTCATTGAAAATGTAAGAGCTAAGATTTTTTCGAGTTAGATTTCTTTAGCAAAAATTTGTTTTTATTTAGGAATTAGTTAGGAGAAGTGTGAGAAGGGGTGGATTGCGCTGAGTTAAGTCATATGTAAGGCTCTACGATACCTACTCGCCGTGTAACAGAGAACTCACACGTCAACCGGCGGAACTTTCCAATTTTTGAACGAGACACCCATTCACAAGATACGGTCAATATTTTCATTCCGTTGCATAATTTTAACGCTCATATTGACACTATTAAATGTCAAGTGAAAATTACATTTTAACGTAAGCATGTACGAACATTTTATTGCTTTACTCTTACGCAACACTCAATAAATTTGATAACTCAAAGGAAAACGTTACATGTTGTATTAATGGCAATTTAAGTGCCCAATGATCAGTCGATGTCTATTGCGTATGTCGATAATTAATACTCAATTAAGATTTAATAGAAAAAAAAATATTGTGACAACTAAGAGTAACACTGATTTTGTCCACATGTAAGTGCATAGATCAATGAATATAACCACTACATAGTATAAAACACAGTCGTCCCGCTGTCTGTCTGTCCCTATGTATGCTTAGATCTTTAAAACTACGCAACGGATCTTGATGTGTTTTTTTTACTGGGTAGAGTAATTCAAGAGGAAGGTTTATATGTATAATACATTGCACCAGCACGAAGCCGGGACGGGTCGCTAGTAATTAATATATCTCAAAAAATTTAAGTTTCACGATTCACAGGTTCGTAGATTGAGACCTCAGCAACACAGATAATTACGGTTCAGCGCAAAACCCCTCCGATGTGTCGCCACCTTAACATCGGGCCCTATCGAAACTGTGTGTCGCGAAACACGCATACTTCCGGTTAGGACTTCAGACGCGAGGCATTGTTCGAACACACCCCTGTGATAACTTAACGGCCGGCGTCGTAAATGGCTTTCACTACCGCCGTAGTGTATACGCAGCGTCGTATTATTGAGGACGTAATCTTGCTAAAAGTAATAAATATACGTTAAGTTACGAATCTCTTTGATACAACCACTTTGGTGACAACATTTCACGTCACGTAATTAAAATTTTTCCAATGCTATGTTAACTTCGTTATTAGTATATGTAAATACCTTTATATAAATACAAGAAAGATATTAAAATTATAATTTATAACGGTTCATAATATTACGAAATTCGATTATTAATTCACAACAGGGAAAAGACATAATATGTGAGTTATATATCAAAGAGATCTGAAGTTAATAAATTTTGATAAAGTTATAGTTATTAATGTTGTGAACCTTTTGTTAATTATTGATTTCTAGAATCAAAACTCTCACTAACATCATGAGCATCACTACAAGCGATGAATGATAAAAAACTTAATCATATTTATTTAGGATGATTTTTGTCTCTGGCTAAGAAAGCTACATCGGTGAAGTCCTAACAAATTAAAAGAATTAGTCTGTCAAAATGTTGGCGTTCTCTGTCAGCTGTACCGGGAGCTGTCAACTGTTGACAGGTTACGTCGTCCACAACCTTTGTACGTGAAAGTGCAATCAGAAACGGATCTTCTCTTCGCGTAGGCGCGTTCGAATGTTGACGGACAATACGTAACTTCTATTCTAATGTTTGACGAAAGTCAAATGTCAGTACTGTCGTTGACGTTACGATTTGGAGTTTTAGTTTTCTTTTTTGTATTCGCAAATCAAATACAACTACAGTCAAACCTGGATAAGCGAGAGTTCAAGGGAGCACAATCTCATTCTCGCTAATAGAGGTTTCTCACTAACCCGAGTTTCTCGCTAATGCAGGTACATGGGTAGCATTTCTCTCTTATAGAGGTACGCAGCAATAACAAGTCACAGCAAGTACAAATGTAGTAACTACATATGCGATATGATAAAATTATGTGCATAATATGCACAACATATGTTAGATTTCGACATATAAGTACCTTATAAAGTAGTAGGTATCAAGATGCTTACGAAAACAAAACAAAAATTCATGCACTATGTAATTTTAATTTATTTACACTTAAAAAAATCCATCAATTTCGTTTGGGTCTGTTTTAGTATTTTGAATGTTTTTCTCTAGCTCATAAATTTTATCGAATATTGCTTGATCAACAACCGCCGCGTATTCAAAGTACTGATGGACCGTCTCCAACGCATTTAAAGCTAGCTTCATTGGAATGATCTTTATTTCTGTTTCCGGAATCTGTGCCTCGTCTTCACTGTCATTTCCAGAAATACAGGTGTTCACACAATTATTAACGATATCGTCGTCGGTTTGTTCTCCAGCGGTAGTTACGTCGTCGTCAATTTGAACGAAATCTTTGAAGCTCGGCATTAACATATTGGATTCGTGAGACACAAGCTTAGTCCATTCCTCGTTGCTAGGTCCAACTTCAACATTATTTTCCTCTGGCAGGTCTTGCTCATCTGTACTTTTCCAAAACCCAGCTTTCTTGAAACAGTTTTTGACAGTAACGTCACTGACTAAGTACCATGCTTTTCTAGCAAATTTCATAGCTAGAAGTACGTTAATGTCAGGGCTACTGTTTTCTTCCAGACTCGTAAGAATATGTTTAACGACTTCTCTGCGATAAAAGCGTTTAAAAGTGTGAATGATGCCTTGATCTAATGGTTGAAGTTTACTAGTGGTGTTAGCAGGTAAAAACATTACTTTTACGTTTGCAAGTGTTGGTAAGTCCGTATGGGCAGCACAGTTGTCAATGAATAGCAGAATTTTTTTTCGGTTTATCTTCTTTAACTTTTTTCAACCAATCTTTAAATAATATCTTGGTCATCCAAGCCTTTCTATTATTGGCATAATCAACAGGTAGAGTCTTGACACCTTTAAAACATCTAGGTCGCTTTGATTTCCCGATGATGAGAAGTGGGAGTTTGTCCTTACCACTCATGTTTACACACTGGAGAAGTGTGAGGCGTTCCTTGCTTTGTTTTCCTCCATGGCATTTTTCGCCTTTAAACGTAAATGTTTTATCCGGAAGGCACTTGAAAAACAAAGCAGTTTCATCCGCGTTGTAAATATCGTCTGGTTCATACCCTTCTAAAAGATTTGGCAGATCTTTAGTCCAGTGGTTGCACACACCTTGGTCCACAGATTTACTTTCCCCAGCTGCTTTTTTGAAAGCTATATCATGACGCCTTTTAAAACCCTCTAACCAGCCGTTGCTAGCAGAAAAGTTCTGGATTCTCAGTTTTGTAGCAAACTCTTTTGATTTTTCTTTCAACAAAGGTCCATCTATGGGAATGTTCTTATCGAGAGTTTGTTTTATCCATTCCAAAAGGCATTTCGATATTGGGAAATTCAGAAACTCTAGTCCTCTTAATATTTCCATGTCCATCAGAGCACTCAAACTTTATAGAGTCTTTTGATTTAACAATTTTATAATAGGTGGATTCTGGTAAATTAAACTCCCTCTGAATTTCATTTCGCGATTTTCCGGATTCAAACGCATTCACTATTGTAAGTTTATCACTTAATGACAGTACTTTAATTTTCCGTTTTGACATGATGCAGAACAGAACTTTCCTTCGCAATTGATTGACTATAGACTGAGTAAGTCCAACAGGAAGACAAACAGTCGAAAAGAATGCGATAAAATAACAACGTTATTTAGTTCCACGAAATAGAATAGGTACAATATTGACGAGAAAACAATGCAAAAACAATGGTAGGAAGTTCCACGAAAGTTAAGAATGAGTCATAAAATAGCAGATGTTAAATTTGTAATTAGCATAGACTGCAGATTTTCTTTTAACTCGACCAGTCAGTCAGCAGTGTCATGTCTTCCACATTCGCACAATAAAATATAATATAGAATAAAATAATAATAAAGGATAAAATTATTTTAAGACAAGTACACATTACTTATTTTACCTGCCATGCTTGTGTTCTGTGTGAAGAAGATTTTGTTTTTGTGTTATGAGACGGAGCGAGAAAGTGTGTTTGTGTTCGTATTAGTTAAGATAGAAAGTCTTAAGTGCTGGACTTCTGTTTAGTGAGTAAAAATAGTTTTAGTTGAAATTTAAATGAGTTAATTGGATTTATGAGTCTTATTGGGAGTGGGAGAGCATTCCAGCACTTTGCGGCAGCAAAACGAAAGCTGCCTCTAAAGACAGCGGTACGGTACGTCGGGTAATTTAGTCTAGGTGCTGTACTAATGCAGCGCTGTGAGAATTTTAGCTTTTCAAATAATTATCACACTATAATCACTCATATTCTCTCTTGTGATATTCACTTCATTCACTTATTCAAAATTTCGTAAGAAACAAACTGCAAAGTGGCTTAAGACGTAAAAAACATAACTACAGTGAAATCGCTAGAGACGTGGGCGCGGCACACACGCAATTAATTATTGATCCCCAAGGTCTATGTACCTCGGAAGAATGCTAACCTAATCGCCGACGATAAGACTCGATCCACGAAGGAAGCGGCCCCGGCCGTGGGCGAGGCGAGCAAGTGACGAAAACTAGTCTCGTAATTGGCTATACGGCGTACTGTTCGCGATAGGATGACTAGCCCTCTAAGTGGTGTAACGGTAGGTTGTAACGAGCATTATTAGGCCCGAACTACGCGGGAGATGGCTGATTAGGGAGGCTGCGCGGGCATGTCGGTTCGGCCGGCGTTTCGACGATTCCGGTGCACTGATACCCGGCATAGATGAATAAGCGATACGGTATACGAGCTCCACTGGCTCAGTAGCACGCCTGGACAGTAGCCAACTCGAACAGAGTTGAGATTTGAGGATTGCGAGTGAGCATTTTGTGGACACGCGACGACGGTGGTGGGGCCACGCAACAGCCTCGGCTGTTGCACGAATGTGCAGGCTCGTCCGGGTAAGTACCACGACCTCACAGAAGATCGGCGTAAAGTGGAAGTATAATACTTTCGCATTTCGTCTGGTGAGCGAGGTGGCCGGAGCCCAATTTTCAAAAGGCTGTCAACGCATCTGGAACCCTCGGGTGTAGCAGATGTCCATGGGCGCCGGTATTCACTTAACATCAGGTGAACCGTCTGCTCGCTTGGAAACTTTTCACATAAAAAAAAACACTGAATAGAATGAGCCACAAATACACGAGAAACTAATGCCATGCAATTGCATGGCATTTATTGCATGGAAATTAATTGATTTAGCATTTATTCTTCATCTGGGAGGCCACTATAGCTTCCGATGTGCTTTACTTAAAAAAATTATATTAATTAAATTATTCTGTGCAAATTTTAGAGGCGTTGTTGAAGGGCTTGCCAAACGTAGCCAGATTGCAGAGTTATAAAAGTATATTTCTCTGTCGGTTGGGTCGCTAATGCAATCCCGTGGGAGGAGACTGGTGCGCAGATTTCTACCATTGTTCTGAGATTTCTTCAATAATCGCGGAAGCCCATCTGCAAGACACCCGTATAATGAATGACGAACTTCATGCCGAGTGAACTATTCCGAGAATTATGCACTCATAAGATATGCCTCGTTGCGTTGCAAGTTGCGACGTAATTGCCTGCGCATCTGACAGTTCCTACGATTGTCTCCATGTTGCGTTATAAAAGAAATCGACTATGGCTTGTCAGGGATGTCATTATTTCGGCGCGCATGAACTTTCCTTTTACCATCCGGAGGGAGTTCTTAAAAAAAAAAAAACACCTTGCCTCTTCGAGAGAAAATGTTTCATGGGACTTCTACCCATTAATATAATTCGCAATGTTTCTTTTAAAACGTTCAAAATATATTTTTCAAGTTAATGCTACAGAATATAGTTATTAATAAACAACACTTCGCAAACGTGAGGCAACCGATACTGAGTGACAGACGATCTTAACATAGTTAATTTAATACCAATATGCGTGTTTATTAATGAATGGAAACAAATGAAGATATTTAAGACATCACTACGACCTTGGTATGCTGAGCATCAGAACGTTACGAAAGCGGTGTGTTATTGAAGGAGGTAATCAATAATGTATGGTCCAATGTAAAACGGACTGCGGGCCTGTATGTGTATTTCGCATTCGTATACTACGCGTATTTCTTGACCTCTGCGACCCTTTACTCTTACCTTGGACAAAACGGTGACAAATAAGCTGTCATTTGAAAGTTAGGTCGTAGTTAACCGTCGTCTATGCTCTTCCATAGCACCGGCGTCACGGGTGCATTACCAGAATTAAAAAAATAGGTTTGTGGTACCTAACTGAAATAAAACCACTTCTTTTTTTATGCGAAAAGTTGTCAAGCGATCAGACGGTTCACCTGATGTTAAGTGAATACCGCCGCCCATAGACATCTGCTAAACCCGAGTGTTGCAGATGCGTTGACAACCTTTTGGGAATTGGGCTCGGGCCACCTCACTCACCAGACGAAACGCGAAAGTATTACACTTCCACTTCCGGTCTTCTGTGAGGTCGTGGTACTTACCCGGACAAGCCTGCCCATTCGTGCAACAGCCGAAGCTGCTGCGTGGCCCTACCACCGTTATTCTTTTACATGTCTGTCTTGTCTGAGGTCCTACTACGATGTAATGTAGACCTTCAACTCTTTGCATGTAGTTTATTCCAATGTCGTCGTAATAATTTCCAGTCATCATTGTCTTTCTAACACCTTTTCATAGAGGCTAAGCACGCTCTAACGAAGGCTGAAACCGTACGTAACTACCTCTTAGTGATATGATAACTCGCGGCCACTCCGTGTTACTATCCTACATGGATTTAATGTAGAACATCCGGGTCAGCATATTTCTTTATGTGAAGCTAGCAAGCGGTTCACCTAATGTTAAGTAATTACCGCCGCCAACATACAACATCTGTGGGCTGGCTCATGTGTTGTGAACGAGTGTTAAAAAGATGGGCCCGGTTACCTCACTCACCAGACGAAAAGCGCAAGTGTAATATCGTTCCTTCTTCTGTGAGGTCGCGGTACTTCCCCGGATGAGCCTTCTCATTCATACAATAGCAGAACGCTGATTATTGGCCCACCACAGCAAGAACTGAACTAGTCGCTCACCTGCGAACTTGATGTCTCTTTTTAGATACCTAACCGGGCTTTTATTATGAGACTAGCTGCTGCAACTACATCTGCGTAGAATAGGCTAAAGGCGTAACATTCGGACAGAAAGACATAAGATATGGATATAAATTATAGCCTATGTCTTATTCTGATGTATAAGCTATATTATTGTAAAGTTTCATTAAAATCCATTCAGTAGTATTAGCTTAAAAGAGTAACAAACATCCACCCATACATACAAACTTTCGCGTTTATAATATTAGTAAGGAATTAAAGATCGGTTCGTTGCTTTTAACAGGCATTGTTTGGACGTCCAGAAAAGTGAACAGGGAACATAACACACCAAATTGTTACGGCAAAATTAACTTCTCTCCGAATTCATTGGTCATTATCAGATTCGAGGATAATTAATTGTCAATTTAGTTTTGATTGCTAAACTAATGATTTAATTAGTGATGATATCCTAATTCGTTAATATACTAATTAGCGTTAATTTTGATTTCGGTGT